CACCCTCCTCTTTTGAAATGTCCAAGTGTAACAAACGCACTGTAAAGTGTGCTCCTTGGCTTGTTGCATGTTTGCACGAGAGACACTTCCTCCCTCCTGCAGTGCTCCTCACACCCTGCCGGGAGGGGTGCATGGGGCGGGGCCTGAGGCCAGGCGCACTCTGACCCCCGGCGTGGGTGCCACGCAGGTTATGCTGGAGCAGATGCAGGGCGTGGTGCGCCTGGAGCTGTCGGGCTGCAACGACTTCACGGAGGCCGGCCTGTGGTCCAGTCTCAGCGCGCGCATCACCTCGCTGAGCGTGAGCGACTGCATCAACGTGGCGGACGACGCCATCGCGGCCATCTCGCAGCTGCTGCCCAACCTGGCCGAGCTGAGCCTGCAGGCCTACCACGTGACGGACACGGCGCTGGCCTACTTCACGGCGCGCCAGGGCCACAGCACGCACACACTGCGCCTGCTCTCCTGCTGGGAGATCACCAACCACGGCGTGGTCAACGTGGTGCACAGCCTGCCCAACCTCACGGCGCTCAGCCTCTCGGGCTGCTCCAAGGTCACGGACGACGGCGTGGAGCTAGTGGCCGAGAACCTGCGCAAGCTGCGCAGCCTCGACCTCTCTTGGTGCCCGCGCATCACGGACATGGCGCTCGAGTACGTGGCCTGCGACCTGCACCGCCTGGAGGAGCTCGTGCTCGACAGGTGCGCGCCTCCGCGCCCATGGTTAGCGCTAGGGTGGGCGGGGTCGTCGTCAGGCCGGGCGGGGGCGAGGGGCTTAGCGTGCCCAGCGCTACCGCTACCGCTACCGCAAAGGTGGGCTGAGCCCCCGCAAGCCGGGCGCCCGAAGAGTGGGCGGAAGTGCGGCACGGCGGTTGGCCAACAGGGGGGGCTTTGGAGCGGGTGACAGCACGGAAGGACCAGGAGCTATTATGGGAAGGGCAGGGCAGGAGGGGAGTCCATACCCGGAGCACTCCCAGGAAAAGGAGGAGGAATGGGCCGGAGCTGAGGGGTGGAGGGAGATGACTTGAAGGTGGGTGGTCCCCCTCTGGTGCACCCACAGGTGCGTGCGCATCACGGACACTGGCCTCAGCTATTTGTCCACCATGTCGTCCCTACGCAGCCTCTACCTGCGATGGTGCTGCCAGGTACCAGCCCTCCGCGCCACCGGGAGGTGGGGAATAGGCGAGGGAGGTGGGGGCGTGGGGAAAGCCCCGAACCCGACGCTCTGCTGACCTGCTCCCTGGCCCCATCAGACCCCGCAGGGAAGTCTGGGATCCCTTCGCATCCAGCATTTGTCCTAAGCGGAATGCACGGGGTCCCCAGGGCACTTCCCAGTTGCCTCCTGGCTCCTCGGGGGCTAAGACACCCCGGTTTTGAACCCCGCTTCCCTCTCCAGCAGCTCTAGGCCTAAGGCCTAGAGGCCTGACCCCAGGCTTTCCTCCCACGCCCCCTGCGAAAGGAAATAGTAAATTCGCAACCCCTCCCGCCCAGGTGCAGGACTTCGGGCTGAAGCACCTCCTGGCCATGAAGAGTTTGCGTCTCTTGTCTCTGGCAGGTGAGACCCCTGACTCCCACCTGGACAGTGACCACCAACCCCCACCTAGTCTGACTCTACCAGATTTGTCAGGTCCTTGCGCAGACCTCCCCCACAACCCCCAGACCCCTGGCCCCGGCGCTGACTCACCGCGTCCAGTGTCCAAGTCAGAGGAGGAAGACGCTGGGCAAGCTCCCGCCCCCGCCCCTCCCCCGCCGTCCCCGTCCCCGCCCCCCGCGCTCTGGCCCCGCCCTGAGCCGCTGTCCGCCTCCCGCCCGCGCAGGCTGCCCGCTGCTGACTGCTACGGGGCTGTCGGGCCTGGTGCAGCTGCAGGAGCTGGAGGAGCTGGAACTGACCAACTGCCCCGGGGCCACCCCCGAGCTCTTCAAGTACTTCTCGCAGCACCTGCCCCGCTGCCTCGTCATCGAGTAGCGCGGGGCTCCCCGCCCCGGTCGCGGGAACCCGGCAACGCTCGGGGGAGGGGGCGGGGCGCCGCGGAGCCCCCTCCTCGTGCCCCGCTCTGCCCCCGCGTCCGCGGCACAGCGCGGGAGGCGGGGCGAGCCGAGGAGCCCCGCCCAGCGCCCCGCCCCGCGCCCTCCGCTTCTCCCGGCCCCGGCCGGGCAGGGGGCGGGGGGCCAGCCCCACGCACGCACGCACACTCGGGGACCCAGTGCATGCCCCTCGTGCCCGCACTGCACGCCGCCCTCCGCCACGCTACAGCCGCCGCCATCACTCGCCCGCCCGCGGGGGGTGGGGCTCGGTTCTTGGGGGCGCCTCCAGCTCTCCAGACAGCCGCCCTTTCCGCCTGCCCCGCCACAGCCCGCTCTGTCTCGCCACTGTCCCCCCCATCCCGGGCAGGGCCCAGGGGGATCAAGGGGGGCTGGGTCCCCCCGGACGCAGGGCCCGGAAGAGCCCCAAGGGCTTCCCGCATCCTCCACTGCACTGCGCCTGGAGCCCTCCGAGGGGTGTGAGGGGAAACAGGCCACCGCCAAAGCCATGGCCCACCGAGGAGCCCAGGTCCCACCTGCACCCCCCACCCAATGCCAGACCCAAGCGGCTTCTGCTTCCCTGCCGCTGTGTGGGGCAGTCCCCTGTCTGGCCCCTTCCCCACCCTGTCTGACAGGTTGGGTTGGGAAAGGGGCAGGCTGGCTGAAGATTATGTGGGAAAAGTCAACATTAGCCCAGCTGGCTCCAGTCCACTTCAACCCAGGGGTGGTACAGGCCCCTTGAGAGTCCCCAAGCTGGAGCCACCCTTAGGATTGTCAGGCCTTGGGGAAAGCCTGGGCCATCCCCACACCGCAGCCCCTGCAACCGCCTGGGCTCAGGTCTCAGCACACACTTCACCCTGGGCAGGTCTCCTCAGGTGGAATCTGCAGAAGTGGGCCCAGCCAAGGGTCAGGGTAAGCACTGACCAGCAACTCCAATCGTCCAGTGGCCAGCACACCCTAGACACCCTGAGGAGGGAGGGCTCCTTTCTAGCCTGCCCCCACCAACATCACCCCTCCCTAGCTTCCCAAACTTCTGCCTGCCCAAGTGGGCTCTGACCGTGTTCTGTCCGGTCCCAAGACACTGGAAGTCCTGGGGGGTGCTTGCACATCTTGGCAATTGCTGAGGAGGGGGCTGGGACCCCTTTCCATCCCAACCTTGAGCCCCAGGAGATACAGCGCCCACACCCAATCTTGGGACACCCCCTATCTGGTTGGAAGAGAGTAACCAGTTTCCAGAGAGCCAGAGAGTGAGAGAGGAAGAGAGCGAGAGTGAGTGAGAGAGAGAGAGATGCTGTTGAAGCAGAGAAACACTTCAACAGCCCAAAGATTTCCCTGACCCTGGAGTGGCCCGAGGAGTCTCCAGGGCTGAAATGGTCAGGAGCCAGTTTCAGCCCCTCCTCCCCACAGTCCCCTAGTGGAGAGGGGGCAGCTGTCCATTGCCCAAAGTATTAATGCAACTGAAGCTGTGATATTTCCAACGAAGGAGGAAAAATTAAGGGGAGAGAGGAAAACAAACAAAACCAACCAACCCCTAAAATCATTTTGTTATTGTACATAACGACCTCATTCTCCTGTATATGCGGAAGATATAACCTTATATTTGGTAAGTGTTTCTTGTGCTATTTTATCACGTGACCTGTTTATAAAAATATATATTAAAAAAGTTGTAAAAACATGTGTCTGAGTTGTTTTTAGGTTATCAGACCATGGCTCAGGAGGGCATATCTTGCACTGGGCAGCCCAGGTCTCTAGAATTCTGCTGTACCTCTCACCTCATCAGATTTATTCTTTCAACAAACATGGAGAGGCTAGTAACACTGTGCCAGACTGTCACTCAGCAGTGACCAACACAGAACACCCCTAACTTCCCATTGCTTAAAGGGGGAGAAATGATGCTAACATCACTACACATAATATTCCCTCCAAAATATCTAGGATCTAGCCCATCCTTCCAGAAAGGCAGACATAAGGCCTGTTTTATGCACAGGGTAACAGGCTAAGAGAGGGATGAGAATGTCCTAAAAAGTCACACAGAGCACCCACATCCAGGAGGGAAAAGGAGGCTGAGAGAGGGCTGCTGATGGGATGGATGTGTCAGGGACCAAAGTTCGATGGGGACCAAGACAGATGCAACCCCTGCCCTGGTGGAATTCATGCTCGTGTGTGAGACAGCCAGTAAACAAAGGAACAGGTTATGACAAGTGCTGTGAAGGCCACCGGGATGGAGAAGCCATGCTGGGGTTGGTGGCCAGGGAAGGCCTCTGTGGAGAGGGCATTTAAGCTGCCCCCCAAAAGGGTGAAGAGACCATTCCAGAAAGGAGAGAAAGCATAGCACACGAAGTGTCCGTGAGGCAGGAAAGAGCTTAGTGGTCTGGGAAAAGAGAAGTGAGCTCTGGGTGCTGAGACACAGCGGGAGGAAGAGTGTGGCTGGAGTAGTGGGGGGGAAAGGCAGAGGCCAGGTGTTTGGAATTTATTCACAGTGCAGTGGGGTGCTATGGGCGGCCTTAGGCAGAAGAGGCACCGAGCTTCTGTGCGGGATTCGGATCAGAGGAGGCTGCTCCTGAGGTCCAGGAGCAAGGAAGGGAGTGGAGACTGGGGCATTTGGAACTTGTTTACGGACGACCAGACTTGCTGACGGGCCTGAGAGGTGGAATAAGCACTAGTATCAAAATACTGAGACTGAAAAACAGCAAGGCTCGGTGACACGCGCCTGCAGTCACAGCTACCGGGGAGACTGAGGCAGGAGGACCGCTGAGCCCAGTAGTTCCAGACCAGCCAGGGCTACACAACGTGACCTCTCTCTTAAAAAAAAATTTTTTTTTTTTTAAACTACCGAGGTGGAATGAGGGAGCCCAGCAGCCTGTTTACTCCAGGCGTGTACCGTTCCCTGCGGCCTCCCCCAGCGCAGCTGCCTAACCCGGAACCCCAATAGTACCGGCAAGAGTCCGCACTCTCTTCCGGCGAGGGGCGGGCAGGAGAACCACTTCCGGCGAAGGGCGGGAAAAACAGGCCACTTCCGGCGCGGCGATTCCGGACCGCCGTGCACCTTTGGTAGCTGACTGGGTTCCGCGGAGAGAAAGGTTTCCCCGGCCCTCTGGTCCCGGTCTCGCAGCGTCCGCAACCCGCGCCGCTGGAACCTTGCGCTTCTCCCAGGATCCCGTGCCGCCGGCTTCTCTCCTTCCTCCGGCCCCTCCACACACCTCAGGCTCCCTAAACAGCGCGGTCCTTGAGGGCTCTCTGTGCCCCTCGCGCCTCGATTGCCTGAGTCGTCTGGGCCCCTCTGCCCTCGTTTGATCCTTTTCGGAGCCCCGCTGCCCTCGGAGGCCCCCAGGCTGACCGTGTGGATAGCGGGAGACCCCTCGCTTCCCTGCTGCGATTGACTGACGAAGGTTCAGTGCCCAGATCTGACTGATGAGAGGAATGGAGGGGTGACCTGGCCGGGACTGAACACGTAGGGTCTTCCATGGAAGTCAGACATGGGACTGGCCAACCTCAAGGTTGCTGCCGAGCCTTCTGACCGCCCAGCTGGGGTGACAGGCTGGACTGACAGATTCCAGGGGGTTTGAGCTTGCCTGTCAAACAGGTTGCCTGATAGACTGCCCTGAACTGGCTCACCAAGACAGACTGGCCCAGGCCCAGGAAGTTCTGGGGGACCCAACCTCGATGAAAGTTCTGAACTGACCACCCACCCAGGCTGACCAGGCCAGCCTACTCCACCAACCTCCTGTCCCCATCACCCGTGCAGCCATGGAGAAGATGTCCCGGGTGACCACAGCCCTGAGCGGCAGCATGCTGACAGGCCGCACCATGCACTGCCACCTGGATGCTCCGGCCAATGCCATCAGCGTGTGCCGTGATGCAGCCCAAGTGGTCGTGGCAGGCCGCAGCATCTTCAAGATCTACTCCATTGAGGAGGAGCAGTTCGTGGAGAAGCTGAATCTGCGTGTGGGCCGCAAGCCCTCACTTAACCTGAGCTGTGCTGACGTGGTCTGGCACCAGATGGATGAGAACCTGCTGGCCACAGCAGCCACCAACGGTGTGGTGGTTACGTGGAACCTGGGCCGGCCATCCCGCAACAAGCAGGACCAACTGTTCACAGAGCATAAGCGCACGGTGAACAAAGTCTGCTTCCACCCCACCGAGGCCCATGTGCTCCTCAGTGGCTCCCAGGACGGCTTCATGAAGTGCTTTGACCTCCGCAGAAAGGACTCTGTCAGCACCTTCTCAGGTGAGGCCCCCTGAGGCAGGTTGGAGCAGGTGGGCATCTCTGCTGGTACCCAGTCTGTCCAGGCAAGCTGAGAAGTGCTCCATACATCAGAGGGCCTCAGATGCACTCCCAGAGGGCTTACTGGAGGAGGTGGGGTGGATAGGAGGTAGGGGCAGGCCTGGATGAGGTGTCACAGTGGGGAGGCAGGTGGCAGGACCAGCAGAAACTGGGGCTGGGTGTGGGAGGGGAGGGCAGAGCCCCAGCTTTCTGAAAGACGACCCAGTGGCTCAGCACAGGGCACACTGCACTACCTGCCTTTCCCTCACTGCAGAGCTCCAGGCCACCTCAAGTCTGCCAGGACTGCCAGGGTTCTCAGCCCAGGGAGGCAGAGGAGGTGGGGTACACTTTGTAGTTTCCCCAGGGTCCTTTTCCTGGGGACCACAACTTTGCCCAAGGACTGATGAAGGGTACAGATCCAGGAACCATTGAAACCCAGGAGTTTATGGTGAAAACCACCTGGCAATCCTAGCACTCTGGGAGGCCGAAACAGGGGGGATCACTCAAGGTCAGGAGTTCATGAAACCAGCCTGAGTAAGAGCGAGACCCTGTCTCTACTTAAAATACAAAGAAATTAATTGGCCAACTAAAAATATATAGAAAAAAATTAGCCGGGCATGGTGGCGCATGCCTGTAGTCCCAGCTACTCAGGAGGCTGAGGCAGTAGGATTGCCTGAGCCCAGGAGTTTGAGGTTGCTGTGAGCTAGGCTGATGCCATAGCACTCTAGCCCAGGCAAGAGTAAAACTCTGTCTCAAAAAACAAAACAAAACAAAACAAAAAAAACCCACCTGGCAGCAGGGGATGGTGGCCTGTAATCCCCATACTTTGGGAGCCTGAAGTGGGAGGATTGATCAAGGCCAGCCTGGGCAATACAGTGAGACCCTCATTTCTACAATAAATTTAAAGTTAGCTGGGTGTAGTGGCTTGTGCCTGTAGTCCCAGCTACTTGGGAGGTTGAGGCAGGAGGATCGCTTGAGCCCCAGAGTTTGAGGCTGGAGTGAGCTGTGATCACCCCCCTGCACACCAGCCCAGGCGACAGTGAGATCCTGCCGCAATAAGGAAAAGAAAAAAACACCTGGAATCCTGCTTTCCAGCCCAGGGTCTTGGGCTGCTCTGCATGGCAACTCTCTGCCCTTGTCTATGCCGGGCAGTCCTTAGGGGTGTCTGCTCTACCCGCTGGCCTCCTGGCAGAGGGTGCGTGACACCATCCCACAGCCACTCCTCGGGCCCTGCCCTGGGTACAAGCCCCCCTTGCCTCTCCCTCCACTGACACTTGCCCACAGGCCAGTCTGAGAGTGTGCGGGATGTCCAGTTCAGCATCCGGGACTACTTCACCTTTGCCTCCACCTTCGAGAACGGCAACGTGCAGCTCTGGGACATCCGGCGCCCCGACCGGTGCGAGAGGATGTTCACGGCCCACAACGGGCCCGTCTTCTGCTGTGACTGGCACCCTGAGGACAGGTGTGGGGACATGGGGGCAGGCAGCAGGGCTCAGGAAAGCTGTCTCACTGCCTCAAAACCTGTGAGACAGAGAGTGGGGAGCGGCAGGGCTGGGGGACCCTCTCTCCCGCCAGGAGAGGCCACTGAGCGCATGGGTGGGGCCCTCCCACAGGGGCTGGCTGGCCACAGGAGGGCGAGACAAGATGGTGAAGGTCTGGGACATGACCACACACCGCGCCAAGGAGATGCACTGCGTGCAGACTATCGCCTCAGTGGCCCGAGTCAAGTGGCGGCCTGAGTGCCGCCACCATCTGGCCACGTGCTCCATGATGGTGGACCACAACATCTACGTGTGGGACGTACGCCGACCCTTCGTGCCAGCTGCCATGTTCGAGGAGCACCGTGACGTCACAACAGGCATCGCCTGGCGCCACCCCCACGACCCCTCCTTCCTGCTGTCCGGCTCTAAGGACAGTTCCCTGTGCCAGCATCTGTTCCGAGACGCCAGCCAGCCCGTTGAGCGTGCCAACCCTGAGGGACTGTGCTACGGCCTCTTCGGGGACCTGGCCTTTGCTGCCAAGGAGAGCCTAGTGGCTGCCGAATCGGGGCGCAAGCCCTACTCCGGTGACCGGCGCCACCCCATGTTCTTCAAGCGTAAGCTAGACCCTGCTGAGCCCTTTGCAGGCCTGGCCTCCAGTGCCCTCAGCGTCTTCGAGATGGAGCCTGCTGGTGGCAGCATGGGCTGGTTTGTGGACACAGCTGAGCGTTACGCTCTGACTGGCCGGCCGTTGGCTGAGCTCTGTGACCACAATGCAAAGGTGGCTCGGGAACTTGGTCGCAACCAGGTAGGAGGGGCTGGGTCCAAGGGGGCCAAGAAGCCGTGGCCTCAGGGCAGGGGCTGGCTCCTGCAACACTGTACCCACCCAGACCACCCCCCAAGCTCGCACTCAGCTCTGGGTAGTCACCCCACCAGCCCTCACCCCAGCAGCTAAAGGTGCCAAGATCACACAGGGCTAGTGCTGTTCTCTGATGGGGCAGAGGCCTGGAGTCACGCAGCACAAGCCCCCTACTCTGCCCCCAGAGAGGTGTGCGCTCTCCTCTGTACCCTAGTCTCTTGTCACCCCACCCGTCCCCAGGCTCATTTCCAGTGTTTGCCTCCCAATTCTGTTTCCTTCTGAGCTGCTATAGTATGGAGACTGGATTTTTGTCTTTCCCATGGGCCTCAGCTTCCCCACCTGGGGCGGGCCAGGACACTGGTCTCCAGGGGGGTCCTACATGGGGTGCTGGGTGCCTGTCCCCAGGTGGCCCAGACGTGGACCATGCTGCGGATCATCTACTGCAGCCCTGGGCTGGTGCCCTCTGCCAACCTCAACCACAGTGTGGGCAAGGGCAGCACCTGTGGCCTGCCGCTCATGAACAGGTGGGTGCTGGGGTGGCTCTCCCCAGACCGTGGGGCTGCTGGAGCCACCCACTCATGGCCTCCATGCCCCCAGCTTCAACCTGAAAGATATGGCTCCCGGGCTGGGCAGTGAGACCCGGCTGGATCGCAGCAAAGGCGACGCGAGGAGCGACACCGCTCTGCTGGACTCCTCAGCCACGCTCCTCACCAACGAGGGTAGGTGGGGGTGGGCAGGGTGCTGGTGGGAGGGGCTGGGCCTCCCCCAGCACACCGCCCTGAATGCCCTCCCCGCTGGGCAGATAATGAGGAAACCGAGGGCAGCGATGTGCCCACCGACTACCTGCTGGGCGACGCGGAGGGCGAGGAGGATGAGCTGTACCTGCTGGACCCAGAGCACGCACACCGTGAGTGGGGCCCGGGGCGGGCTGGGGTGGGGGGGCAGATGAGGACAGAGGCTCAGAGCCCCCTTGCCCCGCCCCTGCCTCCCAGCCGAGGAGCCCGAGTATGTGCTGCCGCAGGAGGCCTTCCCGCTGCGCCACGAGATCGTGGACACGCCGCCTGGGCCCGAGCACCTGCAGGACAAGGCCGACTCACCGCACGTGAGTGGCAGCGAGGCAGATGCGACCTCCTTGGCGCCCATGGACTCCTCCTTCTCGCTCCTGTCTGTCTCACATGCGCTCTACGACAGTCGCCTGCCGCCTGACTTCTTCAGCGTGCTGGTGCGCGACATGCTGCGCTTCTACGCTGAGCAGGGTGACGTCCAGATGGCGGTGTCCGTGCTCATCGTGCTGGGTGAGCGGGTGCGCAAGGACATCGACGAGCAGACCCAGGTGTGTGACCGGGCCGCGGGACAGCTGGAACAGCTGCTGCCACAGGACAGCCCTGTGGCTGAGCCTGGCCCGTCCACTGCGCGGGGCGTCCTGACCCCCACCTTCCCCGCCCACAGGAGCACTGGTACACGTCCTACATCGACCTGCTGCAGCGATTCCGCCTCTGGAACGTGTCCAACGAGGTGGTCAAGCTGAGCACCAGCAGAGCCATCAGCTGCCTCAACCAAGCCTCCACCACCCTGCACGTCAACTGCAGCCACTGCAAGCGGCCCATGAGCAGCCGTGGCTGGGTCTGCGACAGGTGCGGCCGTGGGGGGCGGTGCGGGAGCCTGCAGGCCGCCCAGGAGCCCCTCGCTGAGGCCCCCTCCCGCCCGCAGGTGCCACCGCTGCGCCAGCATGTGTGCCGTCTGCCACCACGTGGTCAAGGGTCTGTTCGTGTGGTGTCAGGGCTGCAGCCATGGCGGCCACCTGCAGCACATCATGAAGTGGTTGGAGGGCAGCTCCCACTGCCCCGCCGGCTGCGGCCACCTCTGCGAGTACTCCTGAGCCTCCCCCGCCCGCGCGCGGGGCCTGCAGCTTGTGAGCCCAATAAAAGGAGTGGGAGCCGCTGTCGCGCGCCTGTCGTCGGTCGCGCCGTGCGGGCGGGGCGGGCGGCAGTGTCGCCACGGTGACCGGCGGCCAATGGCAGCCGTCGGTGCAGGTCTCCCGGAAGTGCTCCCTGGGGGCGGGCCGCGGAGGCCGTTTCCAGGTCCGGCGCGGCGCCGGCCGTTGCCACGACGACATGGCGGGCGGCGGGCGGGCTCCCGGCGTGCAGCGCGGCGGCGGGCTCATGGCGCCGGGGCCGCTTCTGCTGCTGGCGCTCTGGGCGCTGGCGGCTCCGGCTCGGCCCGGGCCGGCGGGCGACGGGGGATGGTGAGCGGGCCGGGCGGCCGGGCAGGGCCGGGCGGCGGGGGGCGGCGCGCGGCGCTGACCCGGCCGTGCCCGCAGGCGGCTTGGCGGGCCGGCAGTGGCGGAAGAGGAGCGCTGCACCGTGGAGCGTCGGGCCGACCTCACCTACACGGAGTTCGTGCAGCAGTACGTGCGCCCCGCCGCCTCCGCCCCCGCTCGCCCGCCTTGAGCGCTGGGTCACGCCCTTGTTTACCGGCCGGTCTGCCCCGACCGCGGATGCACGTGTGGGCGGGGACAGCGGTGGGCGCGGCTCGGAGCCGGCCGCGACTCTGCTCTTCCCTTGCAGCTACGCCTTCCTCAGGCCCGTCATCCTCCAGGGGCTCACAGACAACTCGGTGAGCGCTACGCTTGTCTGCGCATGTCCCGGCAACTCCCCCGTGCTGGGCCCGGCCACTAAGTCCTCTCCCCACCCCCACAGAAGTTCAGGGCCCTGTGCTCCCGCGAAAGGCTGTTGGCCTCCTTTGGGGAGAGAGTGGTTCGGCTGAGCACTGCCAACACCTACTCCTACCGGAAAGGTGAGCTGCTGCACACCGTGGTACCCGCCTCCTTGCTGGCATCCTCAAGGCAGGACCAACCAATCCTGACGCCCCTTTTCCTGCAGTGGATCTGCCCTTCCAGGAGTACGTGGAGCAGCTGCTGCACCCTCAGGACCCCACCTCCCTGGGCAACGGTGAGCCAGACCTGGGTGGCAGTGGGGTTGGGGGCACTTAAGAGTTCCCAGGTACCAGGATCCCTGCTCCCTGTCTTCTCGGCTGGCAGACACCCTGTATTTTTTCGGGGACAACAACTTCACTGAATGGGCATCACTCTTTCGGCACTATTCCCCACCCCCGTTTGGTCTGCTGGATACCACTCCTGCTTACAGCTTTGGAATCGCAGGTGGGTGCTCCTCGCCCTGAGAGGGTGCTCAAGGTGGGCACAGATTAGGTTTAGTTTGAGCATCAGCTGCTTATAACTGATCCCACAGGAGCTGGCTCTGGGGTACCCTTCCACTGGCATGGACCTGGGTATTCAGAGGTGATCTACGGCCGCAAGGTCAGCACAGGGTTGGGGATTGAGGCTTGGGACTCACTGACCACAACACACAAGAGTGACTGCCATTCCTGCCCCCAGCGCTGGTTCCTCTACCCACCTGAGAAGACACCTGAGTTCCACCCCAACAAGACCACGCTGGCCTGGCTCCGGGACACATACTCAGCTCTGGCGCCGCATGCACGGCCCCTGGAGTGTACTGTCCGAGCTGGAGAGGTCAGTGGCTGGCAGGAGAGAGCAGGGCCAGGCCAAAGGGCCTCCAGCTAATGCCTGTGCTCTACCCCTCCTCTTCCAGGTGCTGTACTTTCCTGACCGCTGGTGGCATGCCACACTCAACCTAGACACCAGCGTCTTCATCTCTACCTTCCTTGGCTAGTCAGACCCAGCAGCAGGCAGGCCCGTGTTACACACCAGCACGTGCCTACCTAGTGCTCACAGATTTTATTACAGAGACAGTGGTAGCAGCAGTGGCCTGAGCCCAACCCACCCTCACCTGTTTTCCAGCCCAGACGGGGGACAGGGGAGGCTTGTGGCCCAGCAAGAGCTATGCTGAGAGGGGAGCAGTCCAGAGCCCAACAGCAGAACTGATGGGATGCAGGCCCAGGGACACAAACTATGTACAGGGGCTGGGGGCTTCTGCCCCAGGGCCCTCCTGGGCCAGGACCCCAGGCAAGGTGCAGTGGGGGGTAGGGGATTTCAGTAGTCCTCCACCCAGCCGTTCTCAGAGATGAATGCGTCAATGACCTCCTTCATGGCCAGGTTGGGGATGAGCTGTTCCTGGGTCAGGGGGCTCCGGGTCACAGGGTCAAAGTGTCCCACGCGCTGTGGTAACAAGGTCAGAAGACACTCAGTGGGCCCAAGGGCCACGCTGCCGACCCTGTGCCCGATGGTCTGTGGGTCCTCACCTGCAGGTGCTCCTCGATGTCCTTGCGGTCATAAGTGATGCCACTGGGTGTGATGCAAGGCTCCCGCATCAGCTCGAAACTGATCTTACCACACAGGTAGTCAGGGATGTCTCGCTTCTGTGCCATACGGGAATAAGGTCAAGGACCAGGAAGGGGACACTACTCCAGCACCTGCTACCCAGACTTCAGGGAACACTCACCTTTCTCTTCTCATCCACCTGAGAGAAGAGCTCATCCATGTCTGCCATGTATTTGTCCTGCAGAGAATTGAGCACTGCGATTGGACCAGACACCCCTCTCCCGCAGGCACACACAGACCCAACATGCAGCAGGGGTGCCCTCGTGTCATGTGCACACATGCCCACAGACCCCTGCATGAGCCAGGGCACCCTTACATGCTTGGCCTCGATGCAGGCCTGTTGAGCCCGGACATGGCCTTCATCCTCGGCACCCTCATGGTTCCGCTGACACTCTTCCAGCTCCCTGGGGGTTGATTGGAAACTAGTCATAGACAGATCTAGCAAGCTGTCAGACCCTACCCCAACCTCAGGACAAATGAGCCTTCTTCCCCCTTGGTTTCCTGCTTGCCAGTGTTGGCCTTCAATAAACACTTGTATTGGTAGTTGGTGACTCAGAATTAATGGGAGACAGGGTGGCCTGGTGGGGGGAGGGGCCCACCTCTCACGCTCTGCTGCAATGAGCCGCGTGAGGTAGGAGTGCAGCTCACTCTCCTGATGGATGCGCCGCTCCTCAATGCTGTTCCAACGCTTCTTCTTAGCAATGCGCAGTGCGCTGGGGATGTCATCCCCAAAGTTGAGCCGCTGCTCCTTGGCCAGGCTGTAGGCTGGGGGAATGGAGGGCTTCAGGTCACTCTCTGGCCTGTCCACCCACCTAGTCCCAGGCGCCCTGCAGCCAGGCAGCACGGTAGCCCACCTCGCTGCAGATTGGCGATGGCCTCATCATAACTCTCCATCTCCAGCTGGCACTGCCCCAGGAAGAAGTGCGCCTTCACAGACTGCCCGTCCAGCTCCAGGGCGCGCCGGCAGTCGGCCAGCGCTTGCTCGTGCTGCTGCATCTTCAGGTAGCACAGGGCCCGGTTGGTGTAATACACCGCCACCAGGGGATTCCGGGTCTGGGGACCGAGGCCAGGCCAGCCACCATGAGGCTGCGGGCTCAGCCTCTGTCCCCAAAAGCTGACACCCCGATGTCCCAGGTCCTGTCGCAGCTTTGGGGCCCCAGGCTGGAATCAAAAAACTAGGCTTCTCAGTTGTCAAAGCCCCGGGTCCCAAAGATCTGGGGAAGGTGGAGTCCTGGCTGAGTCCACCCTCTTGGCTCCAAGTGGTCTTGTAAAGTTTCTCTAACCTGTAGAGAGCCGAGGCTTTGGGCCTGGAGTCCTCAAGGGGCAGGAGTCCCTGTCCTCCAACCCAGCCAGCCTCCCTGGGGGGACAGTTCTCCCGCAAGCTGGTTCGAGAGTCCCGGCCTGAAGCCCGCGTCCCGCCCCCTCCCCCGGCGCCGACGCCGACGCCGATCCCCCGCCCCGGCGCACTCACGATGGCGCGGCCGTAGCAGGCCGCCGCCTCCGGGTACTTGCGGCCCACGAAGAGCCGGTTGCCCTGCTCCTTGAGCTCCTGCGCGCTCGGGCTCTTCTCGGGGCTGCCGCCGCCGGCGCCCATACGCGCGCCGCCCTCCTTTTCTTCCTTGCCCTTCATGGCGCCGCGCGGCACGGCCTGGGCTCCGCTCCCGGGCTCCGCGCCCGGCTCGCCCTGCGCCCGCAGCCCGAGCCCGAGCCCCGCAGCCCGAGCCCGCGCCCGCGATCCGCTCGGGCCCGGTCCAGCGATCCGCCACCGGAACTTCCGGCCGCGCGGGGCGGGGCCGGCGCGATAGACACGTGAGGGCGGCGGGGTCGCGCGTACGTCCGACGAGCCGCGAGGGGCGGGTACGTTGGCGGGCGGGAGGAGCGCCTGCGGAAGGCCCGGGTCGTCCCGCGACACCCTTCCCGGGCGGCTGAGGGCCGGCTCCTCCCAAGCCTGCGAGGTCCGCCGGCGGCCCCACCCCCGTCCCGGCCGCACTCGGGCCCGCCCCTCGCATCAGGTCCCGCCCCGCCCCTCACAGCCGGGCCCGCCCCACTAGCAGAAGCCCCGCCCCTCGCATCAGGTCCCGCCCCGCCCCTCACAGCCGGGCCCGCCCCGCCCCTCACAGCCGGGCCCGCCCCGCACAGCAGGCCCCGCCCGCAGAGGCCCCGCCCCTCGCAGCCGGGCCCGCCCCACTCCGGCCCCGCACAGCAGGCCCCGCCCGCAGAGGCCCCGCCCCTCGCAGCCGGGCCCGCCCCACTAGCAGAAGCCCCGCCCCTCGCAGCTGGGCCCTCCCTGCCCGCAGAGGCCCCACCCCCGACGTGAAAATGGCTGCTGCCGGTGGGCTGTGGGGCTGCGAAGACCCCGGCCACCGGACCGCCATCGTGGAGCGCCACGGATATGTGCTGCGGACGCACGCGCCCCCGGCGGCGGCTGGAAGGCTGGACGTTGGCAGGGCGGAAGGGGATGAGGGAATCGGTAGGGCGGGCGGCCCGCACTCCCGTCACCGCCCTTCCCCCCACAGGTCTCGGCAGGCGCCGCGTGCGGCCATTGGGGGGCGAGAAGCACGTGACGCGAGGGCCGCGGCAGCTGCTGGGGGCGGGGGAAGCCGCAGGGGCGGGGCCTCCCTGGGGCGGGGCGTCATGATGGGCTGGGCCTCGCGGGGCGGGGTCTTCCAGGGACCCACCCACACACACACACCCGTCCGCCCGCGGAGGGGGCGCTTCTGGCCGCGTCGCGGCAGCTGGGGGCCGCCAACCCCTCCGGAGCAGGGGGGACTGGGCTCGGCCGCCCCCTGCCAGAAGTGCGGGCCGCAGTCACGCAGCTGCGCGCGCTCCGCGGTGCGAGCCCCGCCACGGCCTCGGGTGAGCGGGCCGTGTCTGTGCGGCGCGCTCTGGGACAGGAACGTCACTTGGAGCAGGAGGCGCGAGGTCTTGGGCAGCCCAGGGCAAGTCTCCGAGACCCTGTCCCCACACCGTCGGGCCCGAGTGCTGCTGCTTCGCTGCCCCAGCGGTGCTGGCGGCCGCAGTGTCTGGCCTGCCGGCCCGCAGTGCACCCTCAAGCACTACCTGCTGTACCTGGGCCAGGTGCGAAAGTGAACCGTGGCTCTGGGCCAAGGTGAGCGGACTGCTGTGGGCAGGGAGGGCTTCCCGAACCCCAGGCAGGACCGCGACTGGTGTCCCTGGAATCGACTCCTGTACGGCCCCTAGCCAGTGTCTCAGGACCTCACCTGTGGCAACAGCGCTGTGGACCTGGGCCATAGGGCAGAAGCTGTGTCCAATCTTTGTCCTCATCTGGCCACTCATGAAGACACGAGGCGGGCCAAGCAGCACAGGACCCAGGCCACTGCCCTGCCGTGCAGGCTGACTGAGCAGGGAACTGGCCACATTGCTGAACTCACTATGACTAGCAGGCCCACAGCCCTCCCCCTTGCCCCTAACTCCCATGCCTCACTCCAGGTGCAGAGGTGCAAGGGGGAAGAAAACCCAGGCCTTCATCATGGTGGGGGGGGTCCCTTATGTTCAGCCGGTGTTGGGGGGCCAGACAAGCCTTCAGAGCCCCGGGACAGCCACCTAGTGCTGTGTAAAATATTTATTCATTTTCGAAAAAGGCTCAGACTGCAAGTCCTGGGGGTGGGGCTGAGGGGGGGTGTCACATGGACTCCTCTGCGGCCACCCACCCAGCCCTGGCCCAGCCGCCCTCCCACCAGGCCTGGGAGGGGCAGCCGGGGCTGGAGTGAGCCTTGGCCTCAACTCGGCGGGCCACAGGGGCCACCTGCCCCTGGGGAGCAGCAGCCCTGAGACACCCATCCACGGAGGCAGACACAAACGCCCGCCTGGTGGCCGGCCCCCCACGTGCCCAAGCCCGGCCCAGGAGAGCGGGTCAGGGCGGCGGGGGGACGTGAGTGCCCAGCAGGTCGTAGGCGAAGATGTTCCAGAAGACGGCGAAGAGCAGGAAGGTGCCGTAGGCCAGCAGCACCACCCACCAGCCGCACTGGTCCTGCAGGCGCTCCTCGTAGCTGCGCAGGATGGTCAGGCCCATGCTGACGCCCACCACTGCGCCCGCCAGGTGTGCCATGAAGCTGGGCTGTGGGCCCGAGGCAGGCAGCGGTGGGGAAAAGCGCAGCCACACGGCCCGGCCCACCTCGGAGCTCACTGCGGAGGGACGAGGCAGGTGGGAGGTGCCCTGGCTGTAGGCAGAGGGGCCCCCCAACCCTACCCGGCCCCTACTCACTGCACACCAAGGCCAGCACCATCCTCAGCAGCTTGTAGGGACACCTCATGCCAGCCCAGTTCTGATGGGGCGTGCAGACAGACAAGGCCATGAGGCACGCCAGGTGGGCCCCTCCCCACACCCCACTGCTGGGCAGCTCCGTTACCATGACGACGTTGGCCAGGTGTGCAGAACACAGGGCGTAGACCCCTCCGGAGCCTCCCACCACAGGGGCCCGCATATCAGTGATGGAGACCGTCAGGGAGCCTGTGTGAGCAGGGGTGGGACCGGGTGAGGACAGAGCCATCTAGTGAGGTGGGCAGAGGGCGCGCGCCTGCCTCACCTGCCAGCACGCCCGCCAGGTAGAGCAGGCTGATGCGGAGCAGGCCGTGCACCATCTCCAGGGGCACCCCGATCATCAGCTGCAGGAGGGCATTGAACCCCAGCTGCTCCAGCCTGGCCACATGGGGGACAGGCACGAGGGTGGGGTCAGCTGTCTACCCGCGCTCGCCTCAAGTTGCTGCCTCTGTCCCTTGGGCTGAGCCTTTCTGGTTTAATGGGTGGGGTGTCAGGGTGGGCTGGCCAGGCCCTCAGCCCCCACTCACCCGACGTGCATGAACATGTAGGTGAGGAAGCGCCAGGCCCGGGCACGGTGCCCAGGGTGGTACACGAGGGGGCTCTTCATGTACTCAGGGTGGTAGGTCTGCAGCACCCACTTGTTGAGGCGGGCCCCGTAGCACAGGAACACGATGATCTGGGGGCACAGTGTTAGGGCTGGTCAGAGCCAGGGACGCAGGAGGCTCCCAGGGCAGCAGGTGGGTGGTCCCACCTGGGCAAGGGTGACAGAGGCCATGAACACGGGGGGCGGGCAGCTGCGGTGCCGGTAGAAGTACCAGCGTCGGTCCACCTCACAGGGCAGGATCTCGTAGGCTACGTAGCGCACAAACCGCTTGTAGACACCCAGGCCCGGCTCATCCAGCAGCCCGTCCCGGGGCAGCGCCCGCTGTCCATTGGCAATGGCCCGCTTGAAGCTGCTGGAGCGCTTGCTGCTGATCTAGGAGTAGGGTCCAGAGCGTGGGCCACAGATTCTCTCCCGTGGGACCCCTGGCTGTGTGGCCTGCCCAGCTCCCACGTCCACAAGCCCTCCCCAGTGTGAGAGGGGCCACCTGCCCACACCCCTCTGGCCAGAGCACTGGGTCCGCGCAGGCCTGGGCCCTGCCCCTGCTGCCCACCCGTCGTGGCACTGACCAGGTCCACCAGCTCCTGGTAGCAGACCTGGCCCCGCTCGTTGCTCTGGGCCAGGGCCACCAGCATGTCCAGCTTGGCCGGGTCCAGGGGCAGCTCATGGCTGTGCACCAGACCGGCGAAGGTGTCTGCGCCGATGAAGCCTGTGTTCTCAGGGTCCAGCTGCTGGAGTGGGGGAGCCGGCAGCCAAAGCCTGAGGGTGGGCCGGCCCCCAGACCACAGGACTGGGCCAGGCCAGCGGCTAGGAGACCCAGTCCTCCAGCTCCCTAGCAGTTCTCACCTCCTTCCCTCTCTGCTAGGGGAGGGCCAAGGTCTGAGAACCGCCCTCCCTCCATCCCTCCCTCCAGGGGCCTGTTCCGGCCAGCCCTCTGCTGGGGTCCCAGACATGGTCAAGGTCGTGTAGGGGGGTGGGGGTGCCAAGCGAGGCTCTCTGGCAGCTGGGTCCCCCAGGAGCTCAGCCCCGCTGCAGGACGGCAGCATCCAGGGTGGTGCCGGCTCCCCAACCGCCCGCCGCATACCTGCTCCTGGATGAGCTGCAGCAGGGAGCTCCTGTCCATAGAGCCAGGGCCAGGCCGGGGGCCGGGGTCGGCGGCCGCGGCCGGGAGGGGCTGCTCTGCGGACGGCTCCGCTCCGCCCCAGCCGACCCGCTCCGCCCGCTCCCGCTCAGTGCCGCGCCGCGCTCAGGCCGCGTCAGAGGCGCCTGCCCGCCCCCACCGCATACGCTGCCACGCGCGGCCAGGACACGCGCGCACCCCGCACGCGGACGCGCCGGCCAGGCCGCCTCTGGACACACACCCTGGGCAGGAGCGGCCTGCGCCGCCCAGCGCCCATCCCCCACCCCTGCTCAGATACAGCCGCTGCGCGTCGCGCGCACCTTCTGCCTCCCTCCCAGACAGCCGCTGGGAAACTGAGTCAAGTGATGGCACCTGAAACCCCACCCATGCAAGACCTTTGGCACTCCCTCACAGGCTTCCTGGGCTCAGGCCTCTCAAGGATGCCACCTCCTCGGGGAAGCCCTCCCTGACCACTCCGCTAAGATCCTTGCAGTTCATTTGTGTTTCTGCTTGGGCGGGCAGCTCCCTGATGCAGCCACCTGTGGCAGCCACGCCCCCTCCCCAATGCGGCAGCAGGGAAGCCCCACAGCCCACGGTGGGCACCAAGGCCACCTAGCAGGGTGGGAAGACCTTCCTGTAGCTGCCCCAGAGCAGACAACCAAGACCAACCCACATCTTGACACCCTGGGCTGTGGCTGGAGGCTCCACTCAAGCTGCAGGAGCTGTCAGGGGCCTCCAGACCCAGGGGGCAGCAGGGCTGGGCACTAGGGGTGCGCAGACAGCCCCACGGGCAGCAGAGCAGCACCCCCAGTGGACAGGGCTGTAGCTGGGGTCAGGGAGGGGATCTGTCCCTGCGGAGAGTTGGCAGACCCTCCAACAAAGGTGACAGAGATGGAAGACAGTCACCACGGAAAGCCCTCCAAGGGCTGCTCAAAACCCTGTCCCTGCTGTTGCAGAGACTCATGGGGATGCTGCAGGCTAGGAATAGCATCCCGCCCAGAGAATCAAGCCCAGTGGCAGGCCAGGAGGTTATGGGGACTTCCGGGTCCCTGCAGGTCAGGCAGCACCGCAGGACCTGGGGAAGATCCCTGGCCCCAGCACGCAGGTCTGTGGATGCCTGTCTGGGTGGCCCCGGGCAGACCACACTGTGGGCTTTCTCAGGAAGCACCTGTCTGGGCCCATCCATCCCCAAGTTGGTCCCTCCCTCCAGTCCAAGCTGCCAGTTTCCTTCAGGCCAGGGCTCTATGGCCAGCCCCTGCTTGATGGCAGGACAGCACAATGCACTTGGAAACCCAGGTTCTCAGCACAGCTCAGCCAGGCTGACTGATGCTTTCAGGAGTGGGCGGAGCCATGAGCCACACAGGGCCCTGGGGAAGGGGGACAGTCACCAGGCACGTTCCGGAGAAAGCGCTGTCTGCAGTGGATTGCTTGGCTTCCATGGACAGGAGTCCCCAGACCACAGTGGCATAGCTGGACCTTCCAGAGCCACTCACCACACTGGCCTGAGGCCTTGGCATGGTGACCCAGGGACCAAGGGGAGGTGTGACATTTCCACCCCATACCCAAGACACAAGACGCGTTCTAGGTCGGTACAAGAAAAGCTGTTTTCAGAGACTGGGATCCGAGAGATGGAAAAGACACAAGTGAAGTTTAATCAGGAAACCCAACCTCGTGTCTTCCACTGTGGGTACAACCGTGGGAAGGCTCCAGACCAGACGGAAGGATGGGGAGCCCAGCCCCCAACTTGGCCAAGCTCTGCCTTCCAGCCCCCTTCACAAGCCTCGGCCACCCAGGACCAGGAAAGAGGTGGAGCCCTGAGAATTCTGGGTCTGGGGTCAGCTGTGGCCCCTAGCCCAACACACACAGCCCACAAAGAGCACAGTGCCTGTGGGGGTGGTGGCACACGGGGCTCCTGCTCACACACCTGCCACGGCTACCTCGGGCTCAGGCAGGAGCCAGGGCACTGCACGGCAGGCTGATTCAGAAGCTGGGGGCTGGAGAGAAGGGGGCTCCCTGAGCGGTGGGCCTGCAGCAGCGCCGTGGGCCCGAGGCCACACTGCTAGGCTGGGAGCCCACGCCCCACAGCCGTGCTGCCCACAGGAAGCCCTGCAGTTCAGGGGAGGACTTGAGTCCCAGGGGCCTCATCGACTCTTCACCAGGACCCTGTAGAGCGAGAAGCTGAGCACCGCGGCCACGGCGGCCCCAACAAGCCCCAGGATCCCCCGGAGCCAGAAGGAGGTAGGACGCAGCTCTGCTCGGGCCAAGTGTCTGCAAGAGAGAGGTACTGTCTGAAGAAGCCCCAGCCACGGCCCACCTGCTTGTTACCGGACACCCTCAACTGTGTCCTGGACAGTCAGGTCTCCTAGACCACCAGTGGTGGCCAGCAGGGACCAGGCCCTGTGAGGCATACCCAGGCACAGGCTGGAAGGCAGAGCCCCACTGGGCAACCCTGATCCTGCCCCAGCCCCGACACTACAGCTGCCCCAGTGCCCTGGGATGGGACAGGCCCCCCTCCTCCTGGGACTATGGTGCAGGGTACGCACGGGAAGGCGGCCATGGTGGCGAGCCGGGTGAAGACGGCAGTGCTGGGCTTGTCCGGGCCGGCGCAGGAGAAGGGGATGGGGGTGGGCAGCCGGTGCCTGCGGCAGAACTCTGCTGGTGACAGGCCGTGCACTGTGGCGCCTGCGGGCAGGTCGGCTTTGGAGCGGAGGAAGAGGCAGGGCGTCTGCCCGTCCATGTAGTGGCGCTGGGGGGGGGGAGGCAGTGTGAGGGGTAGGGCACCGCTCATGCCCAGGGCAGGGAGGCACGGCGGGCGGAGCCCCGGCAGGCGCCCAGGCCAGGCCTCACCTTGTAGACGCTCGTGCAGTACAAGAAGGACTCTGGGTCCCTGCTGTCGAACATCAGGCAGGCAACGTCGCAGGCAGCATCCGAGGCAGCGTCCAGCAGGCTGTCTGCGCCCACCTCACACAGCTGGGACAAACAGTGGCCTTAGGGAAGGGTCCCTAGGGCTGGGTCCCCCAAGGGCTGCACTAAGGCAGCTCCACCAGGTACAGGATGGATGAGTGGGGTGTCCCCAGGGCCAGCACTCACGATCAGGTACTTCTCCTGCCCATTGACCTGCACGGTGTTGATGGCGTAGGTGGGGGGCTCTGCCGGGGACTCCCTGGAGTCCTGGTGCTGAGGAGGGAGGAGACCTCGACGCTCAGTGGCCACAGTGCACCCCAGATGGCCCTGGCCCTGCCCCTGCAGCTACCAGGTGGGGCACAGGGCCCGGTGCACTCACCCCCAGGCTGTGGCCGAGGAAGGCCCGCAGGAAGGCAGACTTGCCCACGCCTCGGTCGCCTACCACCTTGCACAGGAGGACGCTGCGCTGCGTCTGCCCCTTCTCCTGGTCCAGCCTCTTCTCTCGGGTGACTACGAGGACGGGCGCAGGTTAGGGTGGCTGCCAGGGTCTAGGCCTGGGGCCTAGTGAGGGTGGGCGCCCACCTGTGATGGCCTGGGCCTGGGAGTCCTCGCAGAGGGTGGGGTAGCCCAGGTAGCCAAGGTGCCCTAGGCAGCGCCGGACATCCAGGTAGGTCAGCAGCCTGGGGGTGGGAGGAAGGCGCGGCGTCACAGTGCGGAGGGGGCAGCGGGGCAGCGGCGGGCATGGTGCAGGCTGCACTCACGTCCACTGGCAAAGGTATCCGTGTAGTGGCAGCCGGCCAGCATCGCTGCACACCGTGCCCAGGAGCTCAGGGCCCCAGGGGGCTGCTGGGAACACACTGAAGAGGCTCTGCAACTCCACAGGTGAGAGGGCGCCATCCCGGTCCTGCAGGGAGAGGGGCCATGGTGACGAGAGCCAAGGATGCAGCAGTGGGCAGGCCACAGAGAAGCACACGCAGCCACGGTGCTCTCACCTGGTCATGCTTCTCAAACACCCTCTGCACAAACTGGTGGCCCAGGTGGTTGAGCTCGGCGCTACAGCCGGGGGGCACGTGGAGCCTGCAAGGACACAACAGCCCATCTGGTTCACAGAAGACCCTGTGCCACCAGGCTTGACACACCCAGCTGCCACCCTGAGGGCCCCATCTGAGCAGTCAGACCCTCCCTACAGAGCCCGGAGACTCCAGTACCCCGACCCTGCAGACGGGCCAGGGAAGGACAGTGATCGTCTATCTGCCCCAGCACGTGGGAGTCCTGAGGGTCCCAGGTCCCTGGGCAACAAGTCCCAGCCTGCCTGCCTACAGACTCAGGGCAGAGCGACGCCGTGTGGCCTGTGCTGCAGGGCACAACCCCCGATGGGCCTGCTGGGGGGGCGGAGGGACCCCCTACACCTAGGGCAGGTGAGCCCCAAGCCCCACTCGCCACTCACGGCGGGTAAAGGTAGTCGGCTGTCAGCTCAAGAGTGTCACTGTAGCCGAAGCGCCGCAGGATGGTCCACGTGGTCTCGTGCCGGCCACGCTGGATGAAGAGGGTATTCAGGAAGAGGAAGCCTGTGCCGAGACAGAGCAGGGGTAGCCCCAGGCACAGCCGGCCACTGCCCAACACCCAAGGGCCGGTGGGGGCCTGGCCTCACCATCCAGGGTCAGCCGATCGTCCTGAACGCCACCGGCCACGTTCTTGCGCACCACCATCTTCACGTCCTCTAGCGCCTGTGGGGCCAGCGGGTGTCCGAAACAGGCTTTCTGCCTCCAAGAGAAAGGGGCCGAGTCAGCCAGCTATCATGGGACTGCAGGTCTGACCACGACAGCGGCAGAGGCCTGAGAGGGCTGGGGCAGGGGCAGGGGCACACCTGGAAGGCGTTGAGCTCCGTGTCGCTGAGCGCCTGGTCCAGGTCCTGATCGGAGAGCCTGAAGATGCGTGTGAGGGCCTGGACGCATGCGGGCCTCAGCTGTGGGGACAGCGGCTCAGTACCCCCAGGAAGCCCCGTCCCACACACCCTGTGGTCCCACCTGTTTGCCCAACGCACCCCGTGGGCCCCTGCGGAGCCCAGGCCCAGGCCCACCTGCTTAGTCTCAGGATCATACAGGGGTGCTGTGGGGTGCAGCACGGCCTTCTGGGCATAGTAGAACAGCTCCGAGATGTTCCTCAGGTTCTTGGCTGAACACTGGGGAAGGTCAGACAGGCTCAGGAAGACACAGGAAAGGCGTCAGGGCTCCCGGCCACCCACACAGGTGCCTGCTCCAGGGCCTTGATGCTGAGTTCCTGTCCTGTCCTGTTCCTGTCTTGTCCTTGTGCTGGCTGGGACCACACCCTGCCCACTCACCTCCACGCAGGTCTCGATCTCGGGGAACTGGTTCATGATGGGAAGCACAGCTTCCACGGAGCTCCCCGGCCGTAGGTCTGACTTGTTGCCCACCAGGATGATGGGCACCCTGGGACACAGGGTCATAGTCACCAGGGAGGCAGAGCCAGCGGGACGCTGCCCCCCAGGTCCTGCTCATTACCTGGGCCCCTCCTCGGTCCCCCCATTCACCAGCGGGATCCACTTGGTTCGGATCTGAAAGGCAAAGCCCAGCTGTGAAGTGAGGCTGCTCACCTGGACCACAGCCTCCAGCCAGAGCTCACACCTGGCTCGGGGAGAGCTGAAGCGGAGGTTGAGGCCAACTAAGGACCCAAGTCTCAGCCACTGGGTATGGGCCGGGGAAGAAAGCAGACAGCAAATGTGACCTTGTACACTTGACTCTACCAGTTCCAGCCCAGGGTAGCCCAACTCGGGCCCACAGTCACTTGCCTGGGCATTCTGGGACTGGGGAGGGAAGAGGGAGGAGGGGTGGCTACACAGTTTAGATTGGCAGCCGTCCCAGGCTGTAGAGGTGGGGACTTGGGTGTGAGGCTCTCTGGGGGAGCAGCCAGCAGCTCCAGGTGGAGGTCCCCAAAACACTTGTTAGGGATGGAGCTGTTCCCAGGATTGGGTGACAGTCCACCTTGGCCACCCTGTCCAAGCCACTGGGGTCTGCGTCGAGGACAGAGTGCTGACTGAGCGGTGCCAGGATCTCACCTTCTCAATTGTGGCCTCCTCGGAAACGTCGTACACCACGCACACCACGTTTGCCTGCAGGGACAGTGGGAGGCGTGGGGAGACCAGAGGCTGCCTGCTCGCTGAGGATGGTCTAGGCCAACTCCACACCCTCTCAGGCACTCACAGGTAGCACAGGGCATAGCTCCTAGGCCTGGGACCCACCCTTCTCTAGAACCCTCCCCCAGCCCAGTGTTCACAGGGCAGACACCCTCTGCTGTCACACTGGGGATGGGCAGATGGCCCCTTCCCCGCCCACCCCAGTGCAGAGATGCCAGACACCCAGCACCACAGCCCCGGCCAGCAAGTCCCCTGGAGAACTCAGGACAGACAGAGCCACACCCAGAACGCTCTCCCGGAGGAGAGCAAGCAATAAGAGGAGACCCATGCTGACCTTGGCTCTGCACTCCCCTCTCATTATAAGCAGTTGGCATGATGGTGGCAGGGGTCTGGGGCTGCCTCTGGGAGGCTAAGGCCTATATCCCTGCTTGGTACTACCCCCTGAACACAGCAGAGGCTACAGGTGGCTAGCACACGTTAACCCGCTAACAGGTGAGCCCTGCACACGGTAGAACCCACCACAGCCTGAAGGCTGGCCAGGGGAAGAAGGTATGCAACAAGGGGGGAGGCTGCTCCTCAAAGCACACAGGAAGAGCAAACACTGGCCGGCCACGTGGGCAAGACAGATGAACAGCCCTCAGGGATGCTCCCTTCTCTCCCCTAAGGCGCTGTACCAGCCCCTGCTCCCAACAGGGTAAACCGTGGGAGCCTTGACAAGACAACCCTTGGTGCTGAGAGGTCACAGCAGAATTACCATGGCAGAGGACACACCGAGCACCTTAATCCAATTCCTCAGAGAGTGAAGCGGATTAAGCAGAGGCTGCAGCCAGCCCCCAGGGGTGGACAGCTGAGCCCCCGTGCCCAGCACCCCTTCCTGAGCCCACAACGACCCGAACCTTGTGGATCTCGTCCTGGAGCTCCTCCTCAGTCTGCTCAGCTTCTGGATGGAAGAGACCCCGCTGCAGACCGGCCTGAAAACCCGGCTCCTGGGCCGAGCCGCTGGGAGGGGGGGACCCAGTACCTGAGTAATCCACGATGTGGGTGGGCACCTTCTCCGGGGTGACGTCTGCGGGGATCGTGATCTCCTCTGCCCGGGGAGGGACCTGCAACAGGCCCGGGCAGCGCTGAGCAGGGGACGCCCCCCTCCCGCGTTGCGGCCGCAGTCCCTCCCCGCGCAGCCAGCGCCCCGCTCCGACGCGCCGGCCTCTCACCTCCTCGGGGAACTCCTCGCCCACCAGCGACAGGATCAGCGACGTCTTCCCCACCTGGGCTGCGCGGGCGGGGCGGGACGGTCAGCGCGGGACGGCCACGCTCAGGGCGCCCCGTCCGCACCGGCCCGCGGCCCCGGCCCCCGCAGCCCCGAGCCCCGCGACCCGGCGCCTACCCTCGCCCAGCAGCAGGATGCGCACGTCCCGCCTCATGGCTGCCGCCCGGAGGCACACTCCGACCCCTACCGCGCCAACGACCTAGCCCGGGCCGGGTCCTCCGCCCTCTGCCCGTCCCCTCGCGCCCGCACTTCCGGTCCCCGCCCCGCGCTTCCGGTTCCCACCGCGCAGCCGCACCAGCGAGCCTGGCGGGCCAGAGGGGTCGAGCTGCGCGGCGGCGCCACCGCGTGGGTGCGCCAGGCACCGCAGGCTCCGTGCGCGCAGGGCCGCCAGGCAGGTGGACTCGCCAGGTGGACAGATCGCTGTGAGAGACCGAGGGCGGGTTCAGGGGTGAGGCACAGGCTGAGCTCGGCCCCAGGAGAGAACGGCAGACTGCTGATGCAACAGGCAGGTAAAACAATAAATGCACACGTTTATTTAACCTATAGGTGGAAACATTAAAAACTTCTGAGGTGAAAAATCAACAGGTATTTTAAGTATTCTCAGGTTGCCCAAATTCACAACAGCTTGGTCCTGATGATTTACACGGAGTCTTGGCCTGTCCCAGCCATCCTGTCCTGGCATGAGGCCATCGATAATCCGGCTTCTTGGCACTGTGGTCCACAGCTCAGTGGCTGGTGACCTCCCACACCAGGATCTCGTTGTAGGCCACTGTGAAGAGCAGCCTGGCAGACGGGGTGAACCTGCACAGGTGAACCGCATCACCATGGCCGGCAAAGTCCTGGGCAGTCCCCAGCGCGCAGTCCACCAGCCTCAGCAGGCACTCTGCGGGCAGACAGCAGGGGTGGCCAGGTGGGCTCCGGCATGGGGGAGCCTGTGCTGCTGGGCTCAGGCCTGCGTCCCCCAGCCCAGGGCCTGCTGCAGCTGGGACAGGGTTAGCAGAACTGAGGGTACCCATCAGAGCCAGGGTATCCCACACCTGGAGCCTGGGAGTCCCTCCCTGGAGTCCTGCTGCTCCTCCATCCAGGACCCTGTGCTGGGCACCATGTTGGGCACCTCACTTGCAGCTCCTGGTCCTGGCATCCCCAGCCCACTTAGGGCCCGAGGCCTGGAGGTGAGGTGCATGTCTCGGAGAGGGCACAGGTGAGCCCTCTCGGTCCCACCCAAGACAGCCCGAGTCCACTCCCACCAGCACTCACCAGCGAAGCCAATGGCCAGGAGGTGGGCCCCTGGGGACAGGCTCAGGGATATGGCAAAGAAAGGCAGCGATATCCTCTCCACCACCTGTGGGCAGCAAGCAGGAGGCTCTGGAGCCTCTGGGCTCAGGGTCAGTCCAGGCTCCCCTACCCTAGGACGCCCCCTCCACAGCCCTGGGTCCTGGGGCTCCAGTGCCAGGTGGGCGGGGTGTGCACACCTGCTTCTGGCGGAGGCTGTAGACGGTCACCTCCTTGTGCACACCAAGGCCTGCGTGCACCAGCAGCAGCCTGTCCCAGGGGCAGAAGGCAGCGAGGGCGGGCGGCTGGTGGTCCTGTGTCTGTGGGGAGGTGCAGTAGGCTGTGTGTGGGGAGCGGCACTGTCCCCACCCACAGCTCCACTGGGACCATAGTCTTACCTCCAGGACAGCAGTCGTTGGGAAACTCAGCCAGTCTAGGAGCTCACAGCGGTTCCACAGCCAGTCGGAGGCCCAGACGCTGACCCGCTGGTCCCCACTGGCAGCCAGCCACAGATCCGTGCCCTGCACCCCTAAGTCTGCGTACTGGTGGGGTGAGGGCTGAGAGGTGCCTTCTGCCCAGATCGGCCCCGCCCAAGTGCCAGCACCCCGACCCCCCCCCAGCTCTGGAGGCCGCCTCACCTCTTTGCTTGTGACCTGGATGGTGGAGATGGGGGCACCCCGGTGGTCACTCAGCACGCGGAAGGTCATCCCCGTGCAAGGGCGGCTCACAGCCACCAGCCCGTCCTTGTCTCCGGAGAGGACGGTCTGACCTGGGCCGGGCAGGGACCATGCTGTCACCCCGAGAGCCCCCAGTCCGGTGGGCCAGGTGGGGACGGCGGCAGCATCACCCTCACGCCTGACTCCTACCGTCAGTAGAGAAGGCAACGGCCGTCAGCGCGGATGGGTGGGGGCGCATCTTGAGCTCCATGGCCGTCCGGGAGATGCTGAAGAGGCGCAGCGTGCCGTCGCTGTAGCCCGCTGCCAGCCGCTGCTGCTCTGGGCGTCCGCAGGCCGGGGGGCTCCACGCGAGGCAGAGGCAGCTCTGGGGGCCCAAGGGGGGGGACATCAGCCTGCCCAGGGAGGGGCCGACGCAGACACACACCCTGGCCAGAGGACTCAGCTTCCTGAGCCCTCAGCAGACAGCGGCACCCCGGAGCTCGCACCCGCCAGCCCCGCCCACTACCTACCTGGTTCAGCACCTGGAACTGAATCACCAGCTCCAGGCTGGCCAGAGACCACACCCGCACACTCCCATCCTCACCGCACGTGGCGCAGTGGGACTCGCTGGGGCTAAAGACGACTTCGTTCACCTGCAGGGACCCACGGCTGGGCTGAGGGGCACTCAGCTGGCCCCACCTGAGCCCGCCAGCAGCCCCAGCCAGCTCCGTATGTAAGGAAACGGGCCTGACCTCCACACGATCCCCACACCAGACCTAGGTGAATCCCAACCAAAAGCAGCCCACCCACCAGTCAAACTGGGTGGGATTCCACAAAGCTGTTCTGATGGGAAAAAAAAAAAAGATAAATAACTCTAACTCATCTCAAACTCAAATTTCTACTATTATCTTTATTTTATTTTATTTTTGAGACAGAGTCTTGCTTTGTTGCCCAAGCTAGAGTGAGTGCCATGGCGTCAGCCTAGCCCACAGCAACCTCGAACTCCAACTCCTGGGCTCAAGCGATCCTACTGCCACAGCCTCCCGAGTAGCTGGGACTACAGGCTTGCACCACCATGCCCGGCTAATTTTTTCTATATATGTTAGTTGACCGCCAGCAGCCCGTGTGCTCCAGGAGCACAGCTAGGTCACCAGGGGCAGGTGGGCGCCGGCCAGCCATGACCCGGACTGACCTGAACTTAAACCTAACCAGAACCTTGCCCCAATATGGCCTGAACGTGACCTGAACCTGAGCCAGAACGGCTGACCCAAACATGGCCTGACGTGACCCTGAACCTGACCCAGAACCTGACCCAACATGGCCTGGACATGACTGAACCTGACAAACCTGACCAATATGCGCTGACGTGACCTGAACCTGACCAGAACTGACCCAAACATGGCCTGGGCGTGACCTGAACCTGACCAGAACCTGACCCAAATATGGCCTGAACGTGACCTGAACCTGACCAGAACCTGACCAAACATGCCTGGACGTGACCTGAACTGACCAAACATGGCCTGGACATGACTGAACCTGACAGAACCTGACCCAAACATGGCCTGACATGCCTGAACCTGACCAGAACCTGACCCAAATTGGCTGGACGTGACCTGAACCTGCCCAAACATGGCCTGGTGACCTGAAGCTGACCCAAACATGCCTGGACGTGACCTGAACACTGACCAGACACCTGACCCAAACATGGCTGACGTGGACCTGAACCTGACCAAGAACCTGACCAACATGGCCTGGACGTGACCTGAACTGACCAGAACCTGACCCAATATGGCCTGATATGACCTGAACCTGACCAGGACCTGACCCAAATATGGCCTGGACGTGACCTGAACCTGTCCAGAACCTGACCAATATGGCCTGGACGTGACTGAACCTTGAGCAGAACCTGGACCCAACATGGCCTGACGTCCGGACCTGAACCTGACCAGAACCTGACCCAAACATGGCCTGGACGTGACCTGAACCTGACCAGAACCTGACCCAAATATGGCCTGATATGACCTGAACCTGACCAGAACCTGACCCAAATATGGCCTGGACGTGACCTGAACCTGTCCAGAACCTGACCCAAATATGGCCTGGACGTGACCTGAACCTGACCAGAACCTGACCCCAAATGGGCCTGGGCGTGACTGAACCTGACCCAGAACTGACCAAATGGCCTGGACGTGACCTGAACCTGACCAGAACCTGACCCAAACATGGCCTGGACGTGACCTGAACCTGACCCAAACATGGCCTGACGTGACCTGAACCTGACCAGAACCTGACCCAAACATGGCCTGGACGTGACCTGAACCTGACCAGAACCTGACCCAAAATGCCTGATATGACCTGAACCTGACCAGAACCTGACCCAAACATGGCCTGGACGTACCTGAACCTGACCCAAACATGGCTGACGTGACCTGAACCTGACCAGAACCTGACCCAAACATGGCCTGGACGTGACCTGAACCTGACCAGAACCTGACCCAAATATGGCCTGATATGACCTGAACCTGACCAGAACCTGACCCAAACATGGCCTGGACGTGACCTGAACCTGACCAGAACCTGACCCAAACATGGCCTGGACGTGACCTGAACCTGACCAGAACCTGACCCAAACATGGCCTGGACGTGACCTGAACCTGACCCAAATATGGCCTGATATGACCTGAACCTGACCAGAACCTGACCCAAACATGGCCTGGACGTGACCTGAACCTGACCCAAACATGGCCTGACGTGACCTGAACCTGACCAGAACCTGACCCAAACATGGCCTGGACGTGACCTGAACCTGACCCAAACATGGCCTGGACGTGACCTGAACCTGACCCAAACATGGCCTGGACGTGACCTGAACCTGGCCCAGCCCTGAGCCAGACCCCACCATAACCTGACCCACAGGACCGCATCGGCAAGGCCAGTCTGTGAAGGTGGAGAGAGGGGACAGGAAGTGACGCGGAGGACAGGAAGGAGCTAGAGACCTGCGTGGCAGCCTATGGGACTCCTCCGTGTCACGCCACGCCAAACCACAGACGACATCCAGCGGATCGCAGCT